CGGGCGCAACACTGAGGGTTGCGATCCATTGCCAGACACGAAAAAAGACAAAAAGGAAAAAAAAAATGTTTCTAATGACAGATTTAGCAATCACAATGTATTTTCTCAAAGTTTTCATTGTGGTCGTTTTGAGAAATATTGTCATATTTTTTTTACCCCACCAGTGTTCAGAACTTCAGAAGGAAGAATAACAAAACACATGGAATTATCTTGTTTTATGTAGAGTGCCACACATTTCATCTGTGGGATACTCCTGAATTTGCTTCTTTGACCATGTAATCTAATGTACACATTACTCATAAACTATAGAAATGGAAATGGAAGGGCCGAGCCCGTGGCGCACTCGGGAGAGTGCGGCGCTGGGAGCGCGGTGGCGCTCCCGCCGCGGGTTCGGATCCTATATAGGGATGACCGCACTCACAGCGCTCACTGGCTGAGCGTGGTGCGGCCGGTCTCAAAAGGGACAAAAAAAGAAAGAAATGGAAATAATGAGGTCTTTCTTTTTTCCCTAGGAAGACTATGATCGTCTGAGGCCTTTATCTTATCCAATGACCGATGTCTTCCTCATATGCTTCTCTGTGGTAAATCCAGCCTCATTTCAAAATGTGAAAGAGGAGTGGGTGCCAGAACTTAAGGAATATGCACCAAATGTACCCTTTTTATTAATAGGAACTCAGGTATATCTTCTTTGATTTTACCTATTTAAGAATTAGGTCTATAGCCTGTCTTGGGGATTTGCTCTCAGACAAATGGTCCCAAGGCCTAAGGTTTAGCAAATGATTTAAGTGTTTAATCTCAGCTGTTAAGTCACTAAGTTCTATCATATTTTTGGAAAAAATAGTGCCAAAAAAAGCAATTATATTAGTAGCTTTGAAAAATTCATTTCTTTTGTTTAATCTTTTTTTTTTTTTTTTTTTTGGTATTTGGGGATTAAATAGGATTACATGTTTTGATTTATCTTTAAAGATTTGTAATATTAAGGGATATTACTGACCTTTTTTAATTAGATTGATCTCCGAGATGACCCCAAAACTTTAGCAAGACTGAATGATATGAAAGAAAAACCTATTTGTGTGGAACAAGGACAGAAACTCGCAAAAGAGGTAATGGAACATTTACAGAATTTAAATATAAATGTAAAAGTAGCCAAGGTAATAGAAGCTAACATTTATTGTGCATTTACTGTGTGCCAGGCGTTATCTCATTGAATCCTAGCACTGACTCAATGTGGTAGGTCTGACTTGTGTCCCCATTATACAGAAGAGACAACAGAGGCTTGGAGATGTCAGGTAATCTGCCCAAGGTCCCAAAAGTAATAAATAGCAGAGGTGGGTTTCAGTCCAAAGCTAGACCTCCAGGGCCTAGGCCCTTCCACCTGCACTTCACTGCCAGCACTATTTTCCTAAAAAGTTACAGATAGAGGCATCAGAAACAGGTGCTGATACTTTCAGCCCTTCTTAATTACTTAAACATTTGTACTATGCCTGACTGGTTGAGTTAGGTAGTGGAGTGACAGATGATGACAGTTTAAATTTGTGGTTAAAAACACTAAATTATGGCTAGGCTTGAAAAGAAATGTGTTGAAATTTCCTCCAATCTTTTTATGAAAAGAGGGTAGAAAAATATGTAAAAGTGATGCTCATAATACCTTTTAAGTTATATTCTTCTTCACCTAAAAACTAGGCTCACTTTTTTCTCTATTTGGCCCTAACATTATTGGATCCAATTTTTTAATAGGACTTTTATGGAGACAATCTGATAAAGCTGTTTTTAAATGTACTGTCAGGAAGCAGAAGAAAGCAAGAAAACTTTCTGGAGGACAGTTTTTCCTAAAGCAAAAGATAAATGGCTTCACTACCAAATCGCTTTAGAAATTCTGTGTATTCAATTTTGTAATCTTGAAGACTGAAAGAATTTCTAAATGTTATAAAGGTAAAAGTCATAAGTGAAAATACCGATGATTTAACTACATAAAAACTTATTACCACATCAAATTCCAGAAATAAAGTTAAAAGTCATATAACAAACTTCACATGTATAGCAGAAAATGGGTTAACATTCTTAGTACACAGGAACCCCTTGCATATGACTTAATCAGAAAAAGACATATATCCCAATAGAAAAATAGGCTAAAAATGTCATGTACCACACTAATTTAACATGTCAATAGTAGGAGAAACTGTGAATGTAGGTGGGTGGAAGGTATGGAAACTCTGTTCAGTTTCTCTGTAAAACTAAAACTGCTATAAAAATTTTTTTTAAAAAGAAGGAAAATTCACCCAAAAAATGCAAACTGCCTTTGAAGATAGGAAATCAAAATCATTAGTAGTCAAATGTAAGTTTAATTTCCTCCTATAAAATTGGCCAAAAATGATAAATTAATTACAATACTCGCCATTCCAAGGGTGCAGGGAAATTGGGACTCTATTGCACTGTTGGTCATTGAATAAAAGCAATCTTGACAATATGCAAAAGCCTTAAAGTCATGCACACTTTTGGTCAAACAATTCCATATGGAGGAATTTATCCTAAGAAAATTATTAGGATATTGGTCAAAGAGTAAAAAATTTCTGTTAGACAGGAAGAATACATTTTTTGAGATGTATTCCACAGGATGGTGCCTATTGTTAATAATGGTGTATTGTATATTTAAAAATTGCTAAGAATAAATTTCAAATGTTCTCATCACAAAAATAAGTATTTGAGGTGATAGAGACGTTAGCTTGACTTAATCATTCCACATTGTCAACATATAGTGTCACTTTGTACCCCACAAATATATACAATTATAATTAGTCAGTTTACAATAAAAAAAGAAAAATATTAGGGACATACCTAAAGAGATAGTTACAAAGATGCCTCATTGTTTATAATGGGAAAAAACCCTGCATCTATTAAAAATTTGTACTACAGTATCTGTTGGGATGTTCATATTTATTATGTAGTTTTAAGGGGAAAAAAGTAGTTGCAAAACAATGTGATTCCATTTATGGGCCTGTCAGCAGCATTTGGCACAGATGGTTCCTTCTCAAAACACTTCCTTCACTTGGCTTCTCTTGGTTTTTCTCCCCTCTCATTGGCCTTTCCTCCATCTCTTCACCTCCCTAGGTTGATCTCCCCAGGGACAATCACTCAGTTTCTTGAGTGTCTTTTCTTCTGTAGCCACACTCACTCCCTAGGCCTTGGTGAGCTTGTCAGTCATGTGGCTTGAACAGTCTATGACTGAAGATTCCCAAATTTCTATCTCCAGCCTGGACCTCTTCCCTAAACTCTAGATTTGGGTAGCGAGCTTTTCATTCAACAAGTCCATCTGGGTGGCTAAGTATCTCAAAATTAACATGCCCAAAACAGAATTCCTAATTTCACCCTCCAAGCTTATCCCCCCAGTTACTCAAGTCAAAATCCTTGAAGTCATACTCGACCTTGCTCTTTCTCTCATACCTTACATTCAGCCCTTCAGCAAAATCTATTGCTCCACATACCTTCAGCACATATCCGGAATCCAGGCACTTCTCCCCATCCCCTCCTCTACCACCTGGTTCAGGCTGCCACCATCTCTGGCTTCAATTACCCAAACAGCTACTAACTCGCTCCTCTGCTTCTGTCTCTGCCCCATGGTGATCTGTTTGCAACACAGCAGCCAGAGTGAGTCTTTCAGTGTAAGTTCCATCAGATCACCGCTCTGCTCAGAATCCTCCAGTGGGTCCCAGCTCACTCAGAGCAAAGGCCAAGGACCTTGCTGTGGCTCACAGGCCCCTGCTCCCTCTGCCTCACTCATTGTATTCCAGGCACACTGGCCTTCCTATTTCCCCCAGGTTCTACCTGAAGGCCTTGGTACTTTTGCTGCTCCCTCTGCCTGGACTGTTCTTCCCTATGTGGACATTATTCATTTTTCATTTCTCTCAAGTCTCTGGTCAAATATCACTTTCTCAATGTGATAATGTTCCTTGAATGTCCCAAGCATGCTCCTGCATCAGGGTCTTTGCATCTGTGCCGTCTGCCTGGAGCACTTCCCCTTGGTGTCCCTCACTGCTCAAACTTCACCTGCTGAGAAGCCTCCCAGACCACTGCCACCACTGTCCTCAGCACTCCCATCTCCCTCACTCTGCCTTTTCTCCATAGCATTTACCACCATGAATGTAGTCGCCACAAAGTAGGGACTTTGCTCTTTTGTTCGGTTTGTTGACTGATCCCCAGCACCTTAACAGTGCTTGACATATAGTAGATAACCAATAAATATGATGAGTAAAAGAATTTTTCATAGAAGTCTCATAGTTTCATAGAAAGATATATACTACTATATTAACAGTTGGCTATTTCTGGGCATTATAAATATGGATAATGAATTTATTCTTTTTGCATAGCTGTATTTTATAATTTTCCTTATAATGATGTTTGTGTTATACCAGTTATGTAAAAAATATTTTATATATTTGTGATTTTTTTTCTCCCTCCCAGATAGGAGCATGCTGCTATGTGGAATGTTCAGCTTTAACTCAGAAGGGACTGAAGACTGTTTTTGATGAGGCTATCATAGCCATTTTAACTCCAAAGAAACATACAGTAAAAAAAAGAATAGGATCAAGATGTATAAACTGTTGTTTGATTACGTGAAAAACATCTTCAGTGGCCAAGGAAACTGTTCATTTCTCTCAGAAAGCATATGAAATGTGCTACAGCTATACTCAGACCTCTTACAGATAACGGAGCAGTTTAAAACTTGAAAGAAAAAAACAAACCTGTCCTCAGAATTCATAGAATTTAAGAATGTTTCTTAAAGGTCTAAGAAGCAGCAAACAGCATCTGAAGCCACAATCTATTATAAATACTTTATTTCAATTAGAAGGTACAATCTCTCAGGGGTTTCATAGTTTAAAAAGCTACAATCACATCATGTTGTAACTACATAAAAAAAAAAAAAAAGTGCTGTAAATGGAACTGCTTGGCTTTGACCATATACATTTCTGCACAGCCCTTATGGAATCTGCACAAAGAAATATCTTCTCCCTTTGCCCCAATTAATTGTTCTTGTATGTTAGTTGCTTTCTATTCCAGTATATCCAGAGTGGTGAAATAACAAGGCCAGCTGTGTAGCCAAAGGTCGCTCCAAGTGTACAGGAGATGGGCCATACCTGAGGAGAGGATGTATGAGATCAAAAAAGAACAAATGTTTCTTTATTACTTGAGCACAAGTTAAGTGTAACCTAAATATTTCTATATTAAAGCTTAATATGCTTTCTTAATGCCAAAAGTGTAATAAGGTCATAACTGCTTTTATCATGAACACTAAAATATGTACACATTTTAGTTAATGTGCATTAAACTATAACAAGGCTTCTGGCAATGTAGATTTAGTTTGATGCTCCCCAAACTGCATGACATACATGCTAAAATGACAAGTTAAAATTTTGGGTCACACTTTGCCATAATCATGAACTCAATTTAGCTCTCTGAACTGGTTGGTAAATTTTTAAAAATTCCCACATTGGCTGTGTACATCAAATGAAATGAGAGGCTGTGTACACCAACTCCCACATTGGCTGTGTACATCAAATGAAATGCTGACCAAACCACAAGAAACTTTCTTTAAATTGTGTTAAAGAGGAAAAACCTAGAATTCGAGCATGTTACATGGAATTTATAACAGAGCAGCTGCTTCTGTAATAAAACTGATGTCACCTTTCAGATATAGATATTGGCACCACAGCAGAAGTGACAGAACTACAACTTATGTACATACCTAGAGTGTAAGTTAAATGAAATACTGGCTTCCTAATACCCATTTTCTCCAGCCATATTACATTTCACAATATTACATCAAGCCAGAAGTAAATAATGTTGATTTATTTCATCCACGAGCAGTGCATCGTGTTGGTTCCTAGGCAAAGGCTCTGCTTATGAAAAAAAAAATTGGCAACAAATTTTCATGTTCATCTGTGGAGTTTACTTGTGGTACTGGAACCATATCTAATCTTTCTCTGGGGGAACAGGCTATAGAACTGGGTTAGAGGTGACTTATGAAAAAAAAAATTGGCAACAAATTTTCATGTTCATCTGTGGAGTTTACTTGCGGTACTGGAACCATATCTAATCTTTCTCTGGGGGAACAGGCTATAGAACTGGGTTAGAGGTGAAACGTCTTAATTACTAGTTCTATTACCTAATTCAGCATTCTTGTTTGGTCTGCTGTGGATCTGCCTTATTCCAAATGCCATGCAACAGACAAGTGTTAGGTAAAACTCTGTGTGAACAACCTAATGCAGTTTAAAGATGCATAGTCTAATCCATACATTTTTTTTCCAGCCTTTCCTACGTTTAAACTTGTGGTTGCCTAAGTTATGATTTCTTTATGTCTTTGGTGGGCTTCTGTTAATTTCCATGACTTGAGTTTATAGCTATGTCTATTGCATAGATTGGGTAATGGAACACTAAACTTTTATACTTGAAAATGACAGCCTTAAATGCTCATATCAGTCACAAATATAGGATGTACTGTCTTGTATGTGAGCTTTGTAGAGATTTTTTTAAAATATAAGCATCATCTTCCCGACTGAAGAGTGGAGAGTCTTCTGGATAACTAGTCAGGAGATTTCTCTCTGAACTGGACATTATTGGATGTCATCTTTCTCCTAAGAAGTGGTGGTTTTCACATTAAGTATTATGGCCTTATGTATGCTCAAATGGAATCTTATGTAACTTTCTCATTTAATTTTGGTCTGCTATTTCTAGACAGAATTGAAAGGAATTGTATAAATCAATTAACATATTAGCTAAGTTGTCCAATACATGGTCTAAAGGAATTAAGACAGTAAAGTATTATACATTTCCAACTGGCCTTTGGGGATTTGATGGGGATTTTCTTTTTCTTTTTTTTTCAAATTCACATCTCTGAAACACTTCACCCTCACTTTACTAGCCAATGGAAGTTAAAATCTACAATCTGTCTTGCCCTAAGAGAAATTGATTAGGAATCTGGAAACGCAAACTGGTACCACCTGTTTCTTTACTGGGCCTCTGTTTCTTCATCTTATTAAATATGGGAGGTAGAACAGATGATCTCCAGTGTCTTTCCCATTTATCAACTCTTATGATTCTCTTCTTTCTTATTCACAATAATCATTGTTGGACACTCACCTTTTCAGCTTCACATTCTCAAGATGGTAAAAAATCATGTATATAGATTATTAGAACTCTAAGCAAAGATGATTGTATCATCTGAACCTGAGGTGCCTTAGGTACTCTATTGACCTTGATGGGGTTTGGAGTTTCCCATTGCTTATTAAGAGCTTTTTAATTGTTTTGGTTCTTTATTATTTCTTTTTGCAAAATCCTTCCTGCCACTTTACTAAAAACCAAAGATTTGTTTTCTATTCATAAGCAGGTTGTAGAAAAGTTGCCTTATTTTCAGAAGCATGTCTTCATTAAAGGTTTAGGTTTCAATAGAAATAAAGACTAATGACTGGAATGACTATTTCAAACTAGTGAAATACCCTAGAAATAAAAATACTTCAAAATACTTTATTGACATTAACTTTGCTGGTGGATGCAAACACACTGCTTCAAGTAAGGCCATGTATGAATAAACTTAAAAGAAATTTGTAGTTAACCAGTTTTTGCATATAGAGAATTAGTTCTAAAGTTCTTAAAAATTTCAGGGGCTCCCCGAAATCTTATTTAAAACTTTGCTAAATATTTATACCTTTATTCTATCTCTACAGGTACATATTAGGTTAGCCCATGCTGAATGATCATATTTCCAATAAATAGAGCTTGAATAAATGGCTTTTGTTATGAATTATCTTAGTTACTTTAGACACTGCTTCCATTTGATTTTTAATGATTAATTTTAAATACCAAATTAAATACTGGTTTGTTGGTTTTTGCTTTTTAGGTGACTGTTACTTTAATGGTGTCCCTTCTTAACACATGGGGTTACAAATAACATAATATGCATAGTTTACTATCTATGTAAAGCACTGAACTTCTTATCTTAGTAGTTTTTATTTAACATCCTATGAAAACATTTGGGATAATTTTCTTCCCTCTTATTTCCTCAGGCTTGCAAGTCTACTCACCATTGGCAAAGTGTGCACCTGCACTCTGTTAAAAAGCTCACTGTCAAAGTGGAGGGAGAATAATAATCCTTCATGAATCCCAGCCAGATTCCAATCTGGGTTACCAAATTCTATTTTAATCACTTTGTAATTTCAGTATGTCTCTTTGTTCTCAAACACATCCATACACATTCACACACATTCTTTAAACAGCTGCTGTACGTTACCTCCAACAGAATACCAAATATGAAATAAATGTTGGTTAAAAACTTTTGTCTAATGAGGGGTTAAGGCTTGGGACACTTGCTATTCAGTGTTATGTAAATCTCAAGAAATCCATGCCATCAGCAAATTAAAATGCTGGACTGGCTTTTAAGACTGTTTGCTAGTGATGGAACAGGTTTGTGCTTATCAGAGGACCTGCTTGACTTTCCTGAAATAAGCTGTAACACAGTCATATTTTAAAGAGAATTCTTTATCTAAGGGCAATTTTCCTGATTTTTGTAGACCAAGATAGGGAAGGACAAAGGAGCAATTGAAGGGAGTTGTGAGAGGTTACCCATTAGTAACCACTCCTCAAGCAACTTCCTACTAACTTTCTTATAATTGCTTTAAAATTTAAAAAACTACCTTATGGCAACAGAATTCATACTGACTTGTCAAACAATCCTAACTTAATCATGTATTTTAATAATTAGATCTTAAAGTTTCCCACTTAAAACCATTTCCTTGTCTCATATGGAAATGTTTCTATTTAATATTCTTCAAGCCACAAACAGGAATTTTTTTTAATGGCATCATCTAAGCAGACAACTCAGCTGCATCACTATAAACATTTCTCTAAATTATGGTAATCTGAGATGGCCATATATAATTATCTTGTTTTGTTTAAGGAAAATAGAAAACCTAAAACAAAGACTTTTCTTGTAAAGGAAGTCATTCACAAGTTTTTGCCACCAAATGATAATCCCTTTTTATCATTTTTAATAAATTTAAATGTTTTTTTAAAAAATCACTAGAAGAAACCATGTTGCATAGTGTAATAAAATACTACGCAAGTTGATAAAATTAAGATCACCTTTAAAAAGAAAAACGTGTTTTAAAAAATGAGTGGTTACATTATATGAAAAAAGTATCCTGCTCAGAGTACTATAATTGTCCTTTCTCTAAATCACATGACTCCTTATTATGTATTTTTCATCACTTAAACCAAAAAAGCCAGTGTTCTCAAAATAATCAACAATAACAAAGGCCTTATGTTAGCATAGGGTTTGGGTACTTGGTACCAGTAATGTTATTTTTTTCTCAGAAATAAGACAATTTCATCTTAATAAGCTAAAAAACAAACTCCTAATACATAATACAGATATAAACTTTGTATGTTTTCTCTTCTATACAAATCAATATTATTGTTCGTGGAAAGACATTTCAAAATTATACAAGGTTATTTCCACCTGAAGACCATATACTGCTCTCTTCTGATCAAACATTACTCTAGAGTTGTCTGCTTACAATTTAGGAATGGAAAAATGTACTATTATCTATGTAGTCCCCGATATTTTTCAAAGCATGTTCTAAGTAGTACAAAATAGTGATTAAGAATACTGATTTTGGTATTAGACCGACTGAATTTGAGTCTTGGCTCTGCCATTTACTAAATATGTGACTTTGGGCAAGACACCTAACTTTCTGTGCCTTGGTTTCCTCAATTGCAAAATGAAGAACATCATATAACTCACCTCTTGGGCTGTTATAATTAACGAAATAATGCACTAGGCACTACTTATAACCATACCATAGGGCTGGCAGGTTGGTTCACTTGGTTAGAGAGTGGAACTAAAAGCACCAAGGTCAAAGGTTCAGATCCCCATACTGGCCAGTGCCAACAAGCAAAAACATACCTGTAACGGTATCTGCCATAGTGCAAGTTACCAGTACATGTAAACTGTAACTGATAATCATCTTTTAGTTCATATTCCAATAAGTGCACATAAAATAAGTTGTCGTTACAATCTGGAACAGTGTCATCCTCCAAATACACAGCCTACTAAAAAAAGAATCTGCCCAAATTTTCTGCAAGCACCTTAAAAATATCTTTTAAAACTACATCTAATAGAATTCACGTTTCCTTAGCAAACATCGCCCGCACACACGTGCACGCACACACACACGCACACGTGGGTACTTCAAAAAAGTTATGGAAAGATTCATATTAGCTTTTTTTCTTTTCTTGTCTTTTCTTTTTTTGGTGGCTGGGCAGTATGGGGATCCGAATCCTGGACTGGGTGTTATAACAACGCACTCTATCCAACTGAGCTAACCAGCCAGCCCTCATAGTATCTTTTTTTTTTTTTTTTTTTTTTCTTTTTTGTGACCAGTAAGGGGATCGCAAGCCTTGGCTTGGTGTCACCTGCACCGCGCTCAGCCAGTGAGCGCACCAACCATTCCTATATAGGATCCGAACCCGCGGCGGGAGCGTCGCTGCGCCACGGGGCCAGCCCTCATAGTATCTTTTAATTCCACTTTTCCATGAACTTTTTGAAGTACCCTCATGTATATAAATCTGGATATAGTTTCAGGTGTTCACAGAATGCCTGCACTCTGCATCACTCTACCTTAACAAGTATTTTTTTTAACTTCTTGTTGGATAAAGAAATATGGTAACCTTTTGGGTTTCAGAATTTTAAGGATCAGCTTCAATGACGTAGATGGCACTTGTTCATAATTACATGATTTAAGAGTAAAGTTTAAGTATATTTTACTTGATTATAATAGGCACGTTATTACTTATAAAATCCTTTCATACATATTAAATACAAATAGGTTTTGAAACTTGTAATGTTATTAAAATTATATCCACAAGTTTTTGATAGGCTACATAACAGCTACTTTGGCATGTCATGACTGACTATGGCAATTTATAAGCTGCTGCAGGTTTCCTACATGACGATCATTTATTTGATATTAGGTAATGATGATAATTTTTTTGAAATTAGTTTAAAATGTTCAACAAAAAGTTTTAAAATATACTAAAATACTAAGCTACTTTCTAAAATATGTCATATTCTATTTAGGAGCTTTAACTTTGCTTTTCTTGGAAAGCAGCATGGGGCAGTGGAGTGATAATGATCTGAGTTTTGGGGATGATCTTGGCCAGGTTACTTAGCATCTGAGCCTCAGAGTCCCAGTTTGCAAACAGGGACCGTAGTACCTATTGTACTTAAAATGTGGGGCTGTTGTATTAAATGAAGTAATATTTTAAAATCTGTCATAAAAGCTGTAAAGTACCATTTACCAGTATTATTCTGTATATTACATATTTTAACTTGGAAAAATTAAACTTATATGAACACTAATATAAGTATTTCTTAGGTAACTGACACTGCTAGGCAATAAATAGAACCAGTAGTTTAGAACAAATACAGTAGTTCATGAGTAATGTTACACTGTGCGGTAGGAACTATTCCCTTACCCTGGGTAATGCAATCATCTTTAATACATGCTGTTCTTCACATGGAACATCTGGGGAATATAAAGCTTACAAGGGAAAACTCTCAGGAGCTATACCATATACTGGCAGTACATTAACCATTTGTAGCCTCACCTCAGAAACAGAAGAGTGATTCCCTGCTCCTAGCTGTCATTTTTCATATATTTTAAGAAGCAAAATAAATGTAGATATTGGATTTAAACCAATCACTTGTAGACATTTGTGTCATTTTAAAAGTCTCATATGAATGACACCATTCATTCAAAATTAATTATTAAGCCCCTACTAATACCAAGCAGGTAAGGTGCAAACTAATATTAAATTATTTAATTATAGATAAATTTTAGTGTCAGTTCTTAAAAACATGTCTCAATATAATGAAAATTAATTATTAATAATTTAATGTAATAATTTGGGGGGAGGTATATGCCATCACAGATAACATGGAGAAACTGACGTATCCACAGAACAGAACACCTAGAAACATTTAGAACAGTTCACAACCATTAGGATTATTGGCTCTCTCTTTAGAAAAAAGGAAGATAAAAACCCAGGCAGCTAGTTCTAAATCTCTCACAAGCTACTTTTTAAAATATTTGTTTTGTTTATTGGGCTTATCACGAATTTGCATTTGCATGACTGATAAAATTCATCTTTCAAAGCCCTCTCACCTTCTACTGGTTTTAAATGATCATTTATATTTTCCTCTGAATTTGGTCCTGAGCAATATGTTTTTCCAGATATTCCTAAAGCAAATGCTATTGTCTGATGGAGGAATACATGTACAGATAAATCTACTCATCTGGATACATTTCTCTAGTTGTAAATCTGCTCCAACGTGTATGCACAGCACTGACCTCCTATGACTAAGAACACAGATTTGGGAAGAGTTATTTGTGAAGAGGTGTGTAGTCTCTGGTCTGGAATTACTGTCAAAGTGACACTAAGTGGTCCTGGCCACAATTCATGCAAGTGAGTTAAGTTGGCAAGCATTATTCTCTCTCATGAAAATCCTGCTAGCAGAACAGTAGCAACATGATGAACACATCCTTTAAATTCAAAACAAGTTTCTGTTGGTTAAGAGTTAAATATTTTTTTCCCCATGCATGAAAAATATAAATCATTCATATAAATTAATATTTTATTTTGGTCTAGAGCATGATATAATCCCTTTGGTAAGAGAAATACCAGTTAACCTAGAAACATGTAACTCTTCAATCAATCAAATCCATAATCTTAGTTTTATCCCTCTCTCCAGCATTCTGCAGTAATTAATTTAGGTATAATCCTATGATCTCTAGTTTCAGTTTATGAAAGAATTATCTGTGGCAACTCTGAGTTTAGAAAATGAACATATATGTTTCACAAATATTAAATTTTTAACCTGGTAAAACTGGAGAAAACAAAAAAGAATTTTTAAGTACAATGCCTCATTTA